CATGTCATCGATGACATCATAATAACATTCATTTGCTCATTTGATTGAATCCCAGCCAAAGGAATCTTGTCTAAACTGAAAGGGATATATTTTTTGAAGAGGTTGATTTTTTGAGTTTTGGCTTTCTTCTCCATTTTTTGTTTTACATTTTGCATTGCTGAATGGAAAGTCGGAGCTTTCTCACTTTTCTCTGCGGTTCTATTTCAATGATTTCGATTGGAACTAACCCTACTTTTCTGTAATGTATACCGATTCCTTCATTAAACCATACGACGAGGAGCGGTATTCTCATTATTTGTGTACTAAGAAGCCATCAATGGAGGTAACCATTATAGTTTCGAAGAATGCGTACGTTATGGAATATATTAGAATAAATTACCAATAGCAAAGCAACGTGATGAAATTTCAGAACGTTCAAGATGAATGTACGGTTGAGGCTTCCTGTAAAGTGGAATTTCCGGTTGGACGAATATGATCATCGGCTATTTGCTTCTAACTGTGTTTCTCAACAAACTGGATGGTATTCTTCATGATAATTCCTGGAAGCAATAGAAGTAACTTGAAATATCGCTCATTGCATGCCAATCTTACCGTTTTGAAACTGATAACCATTATTTGGTTTAGCGAAGATGTATTAAGGCATCATCCAGAGTGAAATTGAAAAACGTCTTTTTTTTCATTTAAATTTGTATAAAAGATACAGAGAAAGTCCTGCGGAACAAGAAAGAGGACAACCAAGTATTAAAATATCCATCTACATAATTGCTTTCATATAGTTCAGGTAACAATCATAACTAGACAAAAATATTGCCATTTTCATTGGGAAAAATGAACATTTTCTTCCAGAGATACCCAGATTTTATCCAGGGTGTGTTGAGTAATAAAGTACTTGAACCCTATTTTATTGAAGGTGATTTAGGTAACTGGAGAAAAATATGCAGAAATAATATCAGAAATGTTGGTAGATAGAGGTGTAATTGAAAGATTTCTCAGGACTGCCGAATTGAATACATTTTTATTTGTGCTGATGATCGTAAAGTGTAGTATGCACTACAACTTCAACTTCAATAGATTTCTTTCAGGAAGAAAGAGAAAATGATATGGGAAACATAAGAGAAGACGAAAGAAAATCTATCAGGATTTTAGAACTTGCAATTCCATTTAAGTTTTTTTAGGATTTTTTTTACGAATAATTGAACGAAATATGTTTTACTTTCGTTACTATCAGAGTATTTGATGTATCAAATAAGAGGTCTGTCGATCCCATAGATGGCGTTTTCGTCATCGAATTAAAGATTAAAAATATGTAATTTGGCGGTATCCTCATTACATAATGACGGGGAAGTAGCTCCTGATTGATTGGGAAATATTTAACAAATCAAGGGCAGTCGATTACCTAGTTTTTCATTCAGTTTGAGACTCGTAGAGGTTCATGACTTTCTTCAATGCAAAAACCATTATAAAAAATTTGTTACAAGGTAATAGACACTAGTGCCGATTCAATCGAAGGTTATATTGACGTATCTCTATTTTAGTGGGAATTAACTGGACGATGCCAGTACAATTAATTCTATTTCAATAAATTTTGAAAATTAAAACGAAAGTTCTTGAACATGTTAAACTAATTGATAATTTCAGAAATCTACACTCTAATCACATTCTTAATTACGATCACAGTTTTGGTATTGATTCTGATTTAGATATTTTACATGTTTGCCAAAAAGGCACTTTACTCAATCCACTTGAAATTTTTGAAATAAACTCTGCTATTAATAACTCTTAATGGAGAAGTACAGTTTGATTGCAAAAAGTTTTTCAATTCCCTTAATTTCAATCATACTTCCCCTGCCTTGATCTTCCATAAACCCTTATTTATTTTATTGGTATGGTTGTACATTTGTTTGGTGGTCTGCTCCAGTTGTTTGATACCTGTTCTTTATTCCTTGTATGGGCGATAGATGTCTTGCATGGTGGTGCTTATCGGGACAATTGTTCCTCCCAGGTAATTTCATAGGATTACTTTTAGAAATTATCGTAACAAGCTGGCATGTATAGATGGTATATGATCTGTTTGCTCAGAACATGAGTTGATATGTATGTGGTGGTCCTTCTTCTGTCGTGTTCTGTGTTTGCAGGTCTCTTGTTACTGTTCAATGTCATCTCGACTTGATTTCTTCATATATTTTTGACAGTTGATTCTCCTTTCTCATCTAGTTCAGTTCGGATATCTTTCATTAGAATTCGTTTTCGTGTGGGATTTTTTGATTTTGATGTTAATTAGTGGGTATGAAGGCTCCAAGCCTCCAATATTTCAGTCATTTATAGCTAGGATGTTATAACTTCCTTCATATTGCTGAATATAAAGTTTTCATTACTATTAACATGTCATTGTGACCAATTATTCATTGGTAACATGTGATGATTTTCTTTTCTCCATTATGAAATTTTCTTCTCCACGTAAGTATTTTTATATTTCATTGAATTAACTATTGTTATGATGTTCTTCTTTTATTGTAGGACTTTTAAATAATTTGCGGATCATGAGCCTATATAGGTTCGAAATATGCACTGATTGATGGTTTTATCGTTCTAACATCTTTTCTTTCTAGATATTCCTCTATATAGTCTATATCATGCATTTATAATCAATGAATTTGTCGATAACGATTAATTTTAATTACCAACTCAAAGGTTGTCATAAAAGCACAAAAACTGAATATCAATGAAGGATCTGGTGCAGATAGATTGTTGCCATGCTATCAATCGAATCTTGCTCAGATTCTATTGAAATTACAGCGGAATTTTTAATGAAGCAATGAGTGAACTTGTTTCATAAATCTGTGATACTCGAGGACAAGAGAAATTACGAAAATCAGTTACGAACCGCAAACTGATAATTGCCTGAAGATGATTATGGTGGTGGGGTTATTTCACGATGTGACTTATATCGGTTTTTATATGAATGAATGTTGCCTATTTCACAGGTTTTTCCAAATTTTTCTTCAAATGTAAACGCAAGAGAAGTTTTTTATTTGAAATCGTTTTGTTTTCACACTTACTTGAGGTTCAATGATCAACCAATCCACGAAACTTCGTTGAAATCTGTTTTTCCGTTAACCAGGTGTCGCCCCCCTACGTACGACAACTATAAAGTGTCGAAACTTGTGCAAGCTAAGGTCTAACAAGGTCTTACCTTTCAAAGTGTGATTCCTAACACTGGTTGGACGATAGGAAGTGAAAATCGATCGTCTGTCCTTGCGATTCGAACTACTGGTTCGCACATCGGTTGAATGACTGAGTGGAGCTGACCACCCACGTCAACCCACCAGGCTACCGTCCTTCCCAAACGTCTTTGCTCTTCCTTTTTGCCACTACTTGTTTCATAGCAATAGCATTTACGCATTTCTTTCTTGAATAATCACAACTTGTTTCATACGACAAAATCTCAATCAATTCTCAATCATTTTATGGGAGTCGTATGTGGTTTTCCATTTCATCATCTTTCAAATTGACACAGTATACCAGATTCTCCGACAGTTCCACTTTTTTGTACGATGATTAAGATGAAGTAAGATGAAGACCTAACGTTGTTAAACAACGTAGGTCATCCCTGCTACAATTTTTGGCTACATTATTCTGTTTGACAAAACCAAGTTATGCCGGAAAAACCGTTTGTAACACGCCCCCCCTTGCAAGGGAATCAGCAGCTTCAATACCTTCCACGGCAGGAATCTAGAGCAGAATCTTCAGAGTTTTTTGAGCAGTCGGAGTACTAATGAATATAGAAATATAGGTAGAGTAAAAAACTCAATACCATTTTACTATTAGCTTTCAGTTCCACAAAGTAATCTGAATACTCCTGATAGAATATGCACAGCTGGCTACAGTAACTAGACGCCATTAGCATCATGTGCTGGTGACTTTTTTTCCAAAAAGCAATGCTATATCAACACACGAGATTGTCTTTCATCCGTTTTTCTTCAAACTAACAAATTTATAGACCTTTAGTCCATTCTCAGAGTAATATTAATTTCATCGATTAGAAGGACAACAATTCTTTCTTTTGGTATTTATTCGTGATGAAGAACATTTAGGTAATTGTAATTTTTGTAAACAGTATTGTTTCGATTGATACTGGATTTGAAAAAAAGTGTTACGAAATATACTATTAGTTCTTTGCGTAAGATAAATAAAGTATAGTACATTAAATGATTGTTGATGCAGCATATCTATTTTTTGTGAATTTGATCCAATACTTATGCAAATTTGAAAAGAATGAAGGTACTGCATTTTCACTAAATTTGGAGCTCTCAGCAAAACAGTTTGAATACATTCATCTGGACTACATTTAATGACATCTTCACTAAAAATGAAGTATACACACCACCAAATTAGCAGACGTAGTTTAGTTTTTCCTAGGTATAGTTGGCACCTAGTGCTTTCTTATTTCTGCATCCTTTGGGAAATGAAAAACTGACATATACTAGTTCTCAGAAGTGTAATTTGCTTACATTTACATCCAGTAACCTAACAACAAATTTTAGTCTAAAATCAAAATGAATACCAAATGATTCACCACTTTACACTTCATATTATGACATATTCACTCAAAACTCAGTTGAACAACTTTTAAATATCTTTCAAACTCATATAGTATCGATAACAAAGGTGTGAAACTACAGGCAAGAGTAATTTACGTTAAACTCCGAAAAATACTGTTTTTTGGACAAGCAGTACTGCGTGCGCTGCGTGTGCAGCGTTATAGAACAGTGCTTTCAAAAAAATTGTTCTACAGCGCCATCTGGTGGCGAGTTACAGAATAATTGATAGCCTAAAAACCTTCTCTATGAAAAAATACTTAAACATGTCAAGTTTCATCAAAATCGATTGAGCGATGTAGAAGTTTATCACTTACCAACCGTCCAACTAACAAACATCCATTTTTATAAAGTAGATTTATATTTTTATTACTATTTATATGATAATTCCAGTGATTGAAGAAATATTTAAATGACTTTTGTTGATGTCACAACAAAAAGGCACAGTTTCATCTGAAAATTTTTGAATGGTCAATTTTAATTTCATTTGTGAGTGAATTGTCTATATATCTTTCAGCGACATTGGTAGACTTCCAGCCTCTCTGACTCTTCAAATTTGTGATGTCTCCACCACTATCAGCAAATAACGTCGCTGAAGTCCGACGAATGTTAAATGCTCTCTGTAATTTTTAGAATTTGGTAAATTTAAAATTTCTGCGATTTTTAACCAGGATTCCTAAATCTGGATACCAACAGGCTGAATAGAATTTTTTTTTTGTAAGTCACGAATAATCTGTTATTTGGAGTATGGGATGGGCGTAAAGATGAATAGTGCAACAGCAGGTTTTCTTGCCTAATTACATCAAAATTTCATCCAATATGTATTTTGGTATATTGTTTTTTTCACAAGCGACAGTAGTCCATAGTTCATTGGATCAATTGACACTTTTGTTAGTTCTTCCCGTCTACACCCACCGGCTAACCCAATTATTTGTTGCTAATTGAAAATAAAGCTTGCTGAAAATAAAACAATAGCAATGTTTTTTTTAAATTAGCATTAGATATGTTTCATTATTGGCTTACCCAATGAATGTGTTTATCTGCTCGCTATGGAAGACTTCTGATTTCTTTACTCTATAATCAACATTCTTCCTTTAAAATATGCGATAGTCTTTGGGAAAGTGGCTATGTATACATTTTTCTTTACTAAAATGGCACTTTTTAACATAGAGTAAATGCTCCAGGAGGTAGAGGATTTGACAGTTACATATTCTTGCGCCAAGTGAACCAAAATTACATCTGTAATAATTTTGCATTTCTTCATATCCATTAATTTCAAGAACAAATGATAATTAGCAATAATTGTGCTGTAGCAGCTGCTATTTTCCATAATTTATTGCGATAATTACGAACAAAAACCATGCAAACTTTTAAAAATCAAAATGTCATCTAATCTAATGTCAAATAGCTTTCAGACGTTATCAAAATCATACCCACAAAGATTTTTATATTTACAATGGTGCGGGATGAAAAGTTCGCTTTTCGTCTCATGTATGCGGGACGAAAGTGCCTCATAACTTACTTTTCCTCTCGGTAACCTAGCGACGAATTGTTTATCAGACTGTCTATTACAACTTATAATAAGTGACGACAGTTGAATTTGTAATGTGATTGAAAAAAGCTACATCAACGAAAAAATCGAACTTTTCATCCCGCAGTGAGAAAAAAATAGTATACGTACCACGAGTGAAAAGTACGGCATTCTCGTACTTTTCTTCCTAGGTGTGTAATATACTATAGTTTTTCATTAATATCAACCTGACTTTCAAAACATCAACAGTTATGCCGTTTCTCTTCAACCACTGAAGTCGGCTGTTGCTTGTGTTGTTCTTTTATATTTTGGTTTCACCGCATTTTGACACTTTTCAGTTTAGGTTTTCAACTTTGTATAACAACATTTTCATGGAAAAAAAAGGATTGGGCTTTCTGATTCTCCATCTTTATACGAAAATGTAAGAACTTAAATAGAAAAAAATAAGCAATTAATTTCGAAATAACTCTTCACTAATATGTGTAGATCCTGCATAGAAGTTGCGTTTAGATACAAACTAAAAAAACATTCTTTCCGAAACAACTACTTTCACATGAACTGAACGAAAAAAGTACTGTTTTTAAATCACTTTCATTCATATGAAAGAGGTATAAAATTTCACCAACATGCAACGCTGTCACCCTCAATGGCGGACATCGATGATTCGGAATAGGACACTTGTCTTATTGCAATTCAGCACTAATCTGGATAAATTTCACTAGTTCGGACTTCCATTGTCTACTATAAAAAATGATTTGAAATCCCTGAAACAAGTAAAAAAGAATAATTAAAAAAGAATAGTTGAAAATAACAATTATATTAAGCAACAATAAACCTGAAATGAAATGATAGTGAAATAACCTACAAGTAAAAATATAATAATTGAATAAATAAAAATTAAAGGAATGAAAAAAGAAAATAATAAAAAATAAAATAGTGTAGAGATTCCAAGTCACGTTAGTTCACGACGTTTCGATTGTTGGTATCTACAATCGTCTTCGGGTGTCATCACCAGTCATCACCCGTCATCACCAGAAGACGATTGTAGATACCAACAATCGAAACGTCGTGAACTAACGTGACTTGGAATCTCTACACTTTTTTATTTTTTATTATTTTCTTTTTTCATTCCTTCAATTTTTATTTATTCAATTATTATATTTTTACTTGTAGGTTATTTCACTATCATTTCATTTCAGGTTTATTGTTGCTTAATATAATTGTTATTTTCAACTATTCTTTTTTAATTATTCTTTTTTGCTTGTTTCAGGGATTTCAAATCATTTTATATAATAGACAATGGAAGTCCGAACTAGTGAAATTCATCACGAAACATTGTCAATCACCTTCAAATAATCTGGATAACATCACATTTTTGTATAAAGATGGAGAAGTTGAAAGCCAGAACATTTCTTTTCCAAAAACTGATCTCTCCTAAAATATACCCCTTTCAATTTGAACATTTTCAAAATCAGAATTCAATAGTTACATGTACTTCTGATGCCTTTACATACCACCAATGACTAAAACCACCTCGTCAAATCAACAAAGCATCACAAATGCGTTCCACGTTATGATGCACATGCACCTGCAGATTAACATTAAACTTACAAGAGCACGAACTGCAATTAGAATCTCTAAATTGACTAAAAAAAATATTGAAAACAGCTAGTCAACAACAAGCGCGGACGCATATTTAAACATTCCATTATGCCTTATGCAAACATCTTCTATGTGTACTCTTCTCAGTTCCCGAAATTCGAAACATTTCTCTGTAGAAAGTCTGTTTACAGAAGAAATTCCACTGGTAATACCTCTTATATGACCGAAGTCGATTCATAACGTTATTGAGGAAATGAGGTAATCTCATTCATAAAGTTGTTTCGCGCTTCATTCATTGTTATTATAATACAGAAAACGCTTATAATGTGGCAACTTGTAGAAGAGTCTCCATTTGAACGATAGATTTTTCTTTTGTTTAAATTGAAAGGATTATATTTTTAGGAGTGATTAATTTTTGGTAAGAAAGTTTTTTTGGCTTTCTACTACTCCATCTTTGAACAAAAATCTTCCAAAGAAAGGAAGGAAGTAATCAATTTGAAAAAAGTAACTCTTACATTGATGTGTAGATCATGCAAAGAAGCAACTTTCAGATACAAATTGGGAAAAAAGCCATCCTGAAACAGCTACTTTTATATAATCATTGAATTACACGAAAGAAAAATACTTTCGAAACAAATACTTTTACATGAATACTGAATTATACAAAAAACAATTTCTTCTCTACTCAGTTTATAATCCAAACATTCGTTATGGAATTGAATCAGATATTATTCACAGGACTCCTCCACAATATAATAAATAAAAGAAGTAAAATTTCACTTACATTTCATTTCATTTACTTACATGGAACACTGTCACTGGTAGACATCCGATATTTCGCCTTAAGACACTTACCTTGGGACTCTTCAGTGTTATTCAACCGTGAATAACTTAGTGTATAAAGTTACAATAGAAAACTGTTCATAAAAAACATTGATGATGAATCTCCAAAGAATCTTGCGAAGGTCTTCCATTGTCTGAAAAAGGTGTAAATAGATTTGATATATATGGAAAAACAAAAATTGAAAATACTTGAAAATTCCTGACCGAAATATTCGAATGAAATTGTTGAAATGAAAAATGAGTATAAATACTGACTGTTATAAGGAAACAAGTATAGCTGAGGCACCAGTCAATTCAATTAATAATAACACTGATGATCTTCAAACAAGAATCAATCTCTGACGGAAGCAAGAAACTCTTTAGAAGGTTCGAAATAGATGAACATTTCTATCTAGCAGACCACTATTATAATATTCATGCAGTCATTGTTCACTATGGTTCTGGCGTTGAATCTGGCCATTATTACGCATTGGTCAAAGACGAAACGGACTGGTTTAAGTTTGACGATGGTTGTGTCACGAAGTGTTCTGGCGATGTATTGAATCTATTGGATCCTCCGGAGACACCCTACATTTTGTTTTATGAGAGAGAGGACATTGGTAGATCAAGATCTTCAGATGATGTGGTGCTGCGGGTTTTTCCGAGTTTTCCTGCAGCTGAAAAAGCAAATGCGCCACTGGAAGCAATGAAGTCGCTCCGGAGCGCCAATTAATTTTTATTGTTGTTTTTATTTTTATCGTAGTTGTCTTCAATATAATCAATTTATATTATATTTGACAATGGAAGGCCGAATTGATGAAATACACCACGAAACATTGTCAACCATCTTCAAACAAATATGTTTTTGTAAATTGGCTCTGCCGTTGAATAAATACATGATTATCTACACTTATAAAAGCAAAAATCACTCAATACTTCACTCATTCATCTCTGTTTCTCCATACTGGTATGAACTAGGAAGCCAAAATTTGGTATAAAGGTGCTTCTTAGGTCTTAGATGCGCACTAAGAAAGGTTTTGCAAATATTTCAACTGGGCCGACCCCCGTGGTAGTAGTAAATGTACGTTAGAGACCAATACCTCAATGTATACAAATTGTAACTTTTTCTAAGATAGGTACATACCAATTTCGAATTGACTGATCTGAGACAGTTAAAAAATTTGATCAAAAAGAAATATTACTAAGTATAAAAAAAATGTTGAATATCCAAAATAAGTGAGGAATTCAAAAAAACGAGCAAGAAAACCACATCAGTTTCCGTTTAAAACAGTTCAAAATAGAAATATTATTATCTGAACAAAGTTAATCTAAAATTGGATGTAGAGCTCAAAAATGTTGAAATATACAGGGTAGGGTGTTCCATTTGAAAAAATTGAGTTCCACTCATTTTTTCATGAGATCAAAGTATCTGCATTTTTTGAAGACCCTGTATGAGGCAAATGAAAATATGACTCGGAGTGAAGATCCTCATAGTATCACTCCACTC